CACTAAACTCAAGCACATAAAACACACGAAAATAAGCACAAAAACACAATAAACAGTTGTGAACCACTTATACTTGTTTCGCGAGTAACTGATAGCATGATCTTCGGTTCGCCTGATGACGACCCACACTATCTAATGCAAACAGCAGAACGTAGAACTTGTTTATTCTAACATGTTTCTCATTCATAAAGGGTAAAAGTGTAATATCATCCAAAGCCAAGCTTTCAGTATATAACACTAACAATCTCGACTCAAAGGTTAGAGTTACACATCAAGATCTGGCCAGCTGAGCCCACAGGCTTTTAATTACAACCCAACTTGGAGATTCCGATTTCAGACAATCATGATCAAGAATAAGGTGGTGATCGCCCGACTAAACATGTGATCGTTGGGTTGAATGTTTGAAGACCTAAGGACAAGATCTGCGAAGGAAGTGGTTATCCTTCTCAGAGTCATCCTTAAATCCCCAGCTATTAGAATCTAAAGTTAGACATGGCTAAACTCTGGGTCGGGCCTGCGGTTCATCGGGTAAAAATCACAGAACCTGAATCGGCCTGACCCGACTCAAATCCTGGACCCGTCCTAAAAATAATTTAAAAATAATTGATTTTTCTTAGACTGGTCCGATCCAGCCTGTCTGGTCATATGTTTAGAATGGTCGACCCTGATGGGGCCTAGATCTCGGACCCGTGGTCAATGGGTTTGACTGAGCCGGTTTCATGCTGGTTTCAGGCCGAGTGACCCGTGGTCATGTCTAGCGGTAGTTACTCTAGGACCGAAGTATCTTACCTCTCGATGTTCTTGTCAAGAGTGAGCTAATCGATTCGCATTCTTGTCGAAGTGGGCTAATGTAAGAATCGACAGAGGGTTTGAATCTGAATTTTTTATGATGAGAGGATGAGAGGAGGAAATCATTGTCTTTGAAAAGAGGTGTTTGGGAATATTTATTTGAGAAAAATAACAAGATGAAAAGAATTGCCCAGTATTTATTGTGTTTTTGTGCTTCTTTTCATGTGTTTTATGGGTTTAATTGAGTCGGTTTTAGGTTGGTTTTCTTGTCTAACCGGTCTATTTTAGTTGATTCTGTGTGTTTTTATTTTCTCTTTGGTGTTTGTACTTTGGCGTACTTTCTCGTGTCTTTGGTGCAATTTTTAGGTCTATTTTGGAAGATAAAAGAGAAGAATCGACCCAAGTTCCGAGAGCATGAACCATTCCGAGAACCCCCGAGCCGTTGTCGAGTCATTGTCGTGCAAGAGATCCAAAAGTCTAATTCGCCTAGCGAACGTGTTCGCCGCATAGCGAGTGTGCACAAGACTCACAAGACCAGTTCGCCTAGCGAACGCGTTTGCCGCCTAGCGAGTGTGCACAAGACCACAAGACCAATTCGCCTAGCAAACTAGTTCGCTACCTAGCGAGTGCTAAATTGTTAAATGTGTGT